CTCTCTGCTGCAGTGCTAAGAACAGATCCTTTAGATTCGTGGGTTGTTCCCATTAGATGTGTACATTTAATATTTGGTTAAGATTAGTAAAAAGGGAGATGAAAGAATGTAAGTTAGTTCCCTTTAGAAAAAACCTGTGAGATGATGGAGCCCTCTGAATAGGGGTCATAGGTCAGTGAAACTGCTGATAAGAATGCATTAAGGCAGGCATGATTTGTAGAAATTGGAAGATGAAGACTTAAAATTCAGAGTTATGGTTAGGACAGATCCAAAGATTTTAAGGTTATGATCCCTGCAGCCATCAGTTATCTTTAGGCACCCAACTATTAATAAAATGACAGTGTGATGTCATTGTCCACAAAGAATAATTCATCTTTCAAATGCCATTTCTAATTGTTAAGTGCTAATGCCTTGATTACTGTCAGAGTCATTTAAATTTTCTATAAGGTTATCAAAGGTTTCGTGACTGTTAACTCCCCGCATAACTAAAATACAGCCAACCTTAGGCCCAGATTACAGACAGGGATGCATTTACAACAGTCACTTCTGCTGTACTGTGGTTGTTGGGAGAAGGCAGGAGGAGATCTGTCTGATAAAATAAGTGGGAATTGGAGGGGAGAAATGTCTAAAGGCAGCAATGGGGATCCTGTGGAGGAGGAATGGAGCCAGGAATAAAAGAAAGGGGAATTCCTGGGGAAGGGAGCTCTGCACTGCTGGCTGCTGGCTGGCAGGCCTGAGGCAAGCCCTTGGGTGAAGGGAGAAAATTTGTGCCCCGAAGAGGTGAAAGAGTATAGCATTTGAAATTGGAAAACATGACATTTTGACCTTAATCCAAACTATTAACCCTTCTGGGCCTTAGGTTTTACATCTGTAAATTAAAAATGCTAGTCCTTGCCTATCTGAGGGGATGGGATTATTGTAAGGCTCAGATGTGGTCATGGACACTGTAAAGAGTTGTGGAATTGTTATCTGTTACCTGGTTATGTGAGCCACGGGTCTGCACCTGGACTCATTAAAAAAAAAAAAAAAAAAAAATGCTAGATATGAACTGCCACGGAATTACTAGTCTTTTCCAGTAGTAACAAAAATAGAATTCACCGATCCATCATAAGGGGTAAATGTTTTCAGGACAAACTGTAAACTGAAATAGTTTTAAGGTAGAGTACTGTCTGGTACTCCTCAGCTGAGGGGCAGTCTTCACACAGAATTGCACTGACATTTTTAGAGTAAACTGAGATGCAGCAGTTCTTGTAGTTCAGGAATCCATGTTTAAACCCCAGGTAGTTCTAGCTCTAGAGATGGCAGTCCAACAGTGGCTTTAGATGTGTGTTTGGACACAGGAAGGCGCTTTAGGCGGAGCTTGAGGAACAGAGGAAATACCGCATAGCTCCTTCTGTGTCCTCGCCCAGCTCCACTGCGTTTTCTTCATGGCTGTCCCGTCTGTCACTCTCTTGTTTACTGGTGTTTCCCCCAGTGCCTCCGCTCCCCTCCCCCAAACTCCTACCTCAATAGAATGCAAATTCCGTCAGTCAGGGGCTTCTTTTTGCCTGTTTTGTTCTCTGTCAAGAGTAATTCCTAGTACATAATAGGCATTCAAATGTCTATAAGAGGAATGAGTACTGGATTTCATTGATGTATTGAAATAAATGTGTAGAAACAGGCCTGTGAGCAATAGGTAGAAGAAGGCAGGTCTGCACCCGGCAGGAGAGGAGCACCTGCTGCTCTGCGAAGAGTGACTGGTGGGCTGTCACTGTCTGGTTTTCTGGACCTCTGAATTGTCAGTAGGCATTGCTGGTCCCTTACCTGTCTCTTTGTCTTTTTTAACCCTAGCAATAACATCGAAGATGATGCAGTTCTCAAAACCAACAAGCACATTTACTCCCAGCTTTTGAGAGCAACTGCAAATAAAACTGCGACTCTTCTGGAAAGAATCAACGTTGTCGTCCACCTGCTGGGCCAGCTTGCCGCCGGCAGTGCAGCGAGCAGCAGCACCGTTCAGTGACTGCACAGAGCCGTGTCCCAGACACGCTGTCAGTGCCTTCAACACGGAGCCGGTTTGTTCATTCGGTGCTTTGTTTCATTAAATAATAGGGAAATATCCATTTAAAACAGGTATATCAGTGGAAACACAGAGTTATTTTAAGTGACAGACAAATTACGGTTGAGTTCTGTGGCTTCTTCACTTGAAGTGCTAACATCAGAATCAAACTTAAAGCTTCCACTATTTGTTTCTTTAAGAAGCACATAGTACCTCAGTATTCACAGACTTGCTGTGATGCAGCTACACTTTCCTATTTTTGAAGTATGTCAAGCTACATGGTCTAAGATATGGTTATTTTGGATAAAATGTTACTTTGGTCAAGAGAACTTTTATCCAAATGACATTACAGGTTCAAGTGGGTTAAGGAGACTTCCTGTGCATCTACAGTGTTTCCTTTTAAATTGCCCAGGAAAAAGGTGTGTTCTTCATAAGCTTCAGTGCAGGATTTTTCAAAGACTAGCTGTTGTGCAATTGCTGTATTTAATGCATGTTCTGAAAGGATTCACTTTTGACTTTATATGACAGTCGATCAAGAGCAGGTACTACCCCTTGTTTTCATTTTAAACTTGAAACTGTGAATAAGGTAAGAAAACTATTTTGAATAAATAAACTATTTATTTAAAATGTCTTTGTATTTTTCCAATTTTCATTCTTCACATTGAGTTTTGAGTTGAACTCAGTCTAAAATTAATAAACTTTAAAAAGCAAAGCTCAAAACATTAAAAGTAAAATTCTGCTGTCCACTAAATTCTCCCTAGAATATTTTACTTATTGCTGCCGCTACATGGCTCTTGTCCAGTTACACACAAACACCCCTGTTATTTGTAATGGCTGTAGTGCGCAAGGCTGTTTTTGTTCATCATTCATACTTTCAATTTCAAGGCGGTGTAACAGATGAAACAGGCTCTTTCAAGGTGAGGTGAATGTCTGGGCTCCTGTGCCTGACACCACTGTGGGTAGGTCTGCTGCCTAGGCCTGGGGGCAGGCGCGCTGGAGATTCGGCCAGCTCCCTGCAGGCCCGCCACGGTGGCCAGAGGCCCCTCCCACACCAGCCAGCCCTCTGAAGGAGTTCCAGCTCTACTAGAAAATGGTTTGGAAGAACTGGTTTTAAGCCAACTTTTTACAGAGCTGTGATGTAAAAGAGACTTCTTTCTCTTTTACAGAGATTTTCAGGTGTTTTCATTGGCTGAGATTTTTTTGTTTGTTTTGAGACAGGGTCTCAGTGTCACCCAGGCTGGAGTGCAGTGGCACAATCTCGGCTCACTGCAACCTCTGCCTCCCAGGCTTAAGGGATCCTCCCACCTCAGCCTCCCAAGTAGCTGTGACTACAGGTGTGCACCACCATGCCTGGCTAATTTTTTGTAGTTTTAGTAGAGACAGCGTTTTGCCATGATTGCCCAAGCTGGTCTCGAACTCCTGAGCTCAAGGGATCCACCTGCCTCGGATCCATCCACCTCCCCACCATGCTGGGGTTACAGGTGTGAGCCATCACACCCAGCCCATTGACAGTGAATTAACATCCATCATAGCTTAGCAGAATTCTCTCCTGCCATTTGTCCACTTAGTTGTTGTTTACCTAGTTTGCATTTTTCTTGGAACAGATATGTATCAGTTTGCACAAATTAATCACTGAAACATTTAAAGTTTTGCCTGAATTCTAAATTGTAAAGCAGTTGTACAAATTCAGCAATGTTTCATTTCAAGACCAGTGTCATTCTGTTTCCCCTTGTAGCAAGTGTACACACATAATAAAGCTGTCTTCACCCTGCTAGATAAACGTAGACACTTCTGTGGATTATGATCAAAGATGATATACCATCTTTTGGGTTAGTGAATTCAAAAGCATGTTCCCGCTCAGGCAGGACTGAGCTGGGGTCAGGGGCCTGAGGTGCTGATCTTTTCTCCCGCCCCCTCCTTGGCTGAAACAAGCTTTCAGTCAACAGGAGAATTTGTTCTTAAGCAAGAATAAATTCTAGTTATCTTCCTTTGTCAGAGCAATAACATGAAAGTTCCTACGGGGGGAATAAAGATCCTTATAAAATATATTTGTAATTTGCTGTTTTTAACTTAAAATTTCCTAAAGTACCCGTGTTTCCGCTCTTCCTTTGGAAGAAGAATTTGGTATCTGTGGCTTGATCATGGAGGCTACTGAACCCATTTCAGTTAATTTCAGATTTTGTTCACATCATTACAAATGACATTGGGTTTTCGTTTGGGTTAAGAGTTAATAGCTATAGTATGTAAAAGTTGAAGGGATATACTGCCTGTCCTAGATATAACTGATACTGGAAAAATAAAATTATCCAGCTAGCTTCAAGAGTCTCCTTTTGGTAGTCTGGTCTTTAGAACCTAAGTGAACTGTCATATAAAGTGGTAGGAGAGAACACTAAATGAATTATAGTGAACCAGCAAAGCTGTTCTGTTCAGGACCATTTGGGTTGCAGGCCTGTGTGTTCAAACAAGAGGGTGCAACTCATTTCAGAGCCCGAGACCACCACAGTGACACAGAGGAAGTGCAGAGGGCCCTGGGCTGGGAGTTGGAGATGAGGGCCCAGAGCTACCATTGGGTTTGACTTTTGGCAGGATACAACAGATGAACTTTGGCTAATGTGACTGGAAATGTGTACAGTAGCATCCATCCTGCCACGCTGACAGAGCTGTGAAGATCAAGAGAGAAATAAACGTGAAAACCTTTTGTACACTGCCTTTAGAGAAATGTCATTCTGACAGGGACTATGGAGGGCAATCCATTTGAATCCCATGACTTTCCCATTACATCCCTCAGTAAAATCATCTCCGTGCCATCTCCTTCCTTCATAGCTTGACCCAGGGCTCTGGCCACCCTTCCAACTCCCATTAATCAGGTGGGCAAACAGTTGGGATGGGCGGAGCCCCACAGAGTAGGAAGCAGGCAAAGATCATTGGATGCTTAGTTTTTGGGTTTCTTTGGTTTTTTTAGCCTTTCTAGGTTATGAATTATGTTTTCCCTGAGCAACTGATTTTTAAATGAAGTATTTTAAAAGTTCAACTAAGGCTTTTCCCATTGGGTTTTAACTTACAGTGCCATATTTGCTTTAGCTACTGAAAATCTGGTTTTCTTTGTAAACAATATCAGAATTTTTCTCTTAGCGAAGTCCTATGACTCCATTTCCCACTTTTTCTTATTACATGTTCAGTGTGGAGATATGGACATCACAAACATCAAACCACTTCTCTGAAATCAACTTCTTAGGAAATAAGCCATTAGCAGGAAGCCAGGAATTCTGTTGTTTGTCCTTGTCATTAACTACCTTCCAGTATGCATTGCCTTTGAAAAAGAAAATGGAGTTGTATGCGTAGGAGTAATAAGCGGAATCTATATTTCTGAAAGGATGGTTTTGTGGTATTACTGCTGGAAAAACTTCAGTAATCTTCTTTGGATAAGAATTAAGTACTCGATTTCTGTTGACATCAAATGCAAATACCTGCAAAGCAAATAAGATAGACTGGCTCTTCTGAAAATCATTAATATTTTTAGGTTAATTTATAACAACGAGACAAGACTTTGTACCAAATTCTTTAGACTTGAACTTCTTAATTTTCCATCATGCTCTGCCATCGCTATTTAGATCTGAAGTGAGTACAAGTTTTTTGGGTTTTTTCTGTACCCAGTCTCACTCTTGCCCAGATGGACTGCAGTGCAGTGGTGCAATCACAGCTCACTGCAGCCTCGACCTCCCAGGCTCAAGTGATCCTCTCGTCTCAGCCTCCTAGGCAGCTGGGAGCACAGGCATGTGCCACCACACCTGGATAATTTCTGTATTTTTTGTTGAGACCGAAACATGGGTTTCACCATGTTGTCCAGACTGGTCTGAAACTCCTGGACTTGAGCGATCTGCCCACCTTGGCCTCCCAAAGTGCTGGGATTACAGGCATGTGCCACTGTGGCAGGCCAAGTACAGCTTTTAAATACAAACTTGACCATCTGGCCAGTCTCTATTAGGGATGACAGAAGCATTGCTCGGCTGAAGAGCCTTCTACTTACAAGGGACTCCTTGAAGAAGTAAATTAACTTCTGTCTTCGGTCGTAAAAGGCTGTGTCTAGGGGACTTGGGATGCCAGGAAATCCTTCTGAAATCAATTTGGGATAGCTTTTTCCTTGTTCATCTTCTGTAAGGGCCTGATCCTTGTCACTGTCATATCTCCAGTATTGATTTCCTGAGAGCCAAACAAAATACGTGCATATGGTTTATTACTATTAAATCATGTGACAAAGCGGACAGTTTTAATCTAGGTCTCAGCCAATCCTGTACAATGTGTTGCCATGATTCTAGGAGAAAGCAGGGCTTTCGGCATCTGAGTGAAGCCTCCACTCCGCGATTTCCGAGGTCTTGAATTAGTCCTACATTTAACCCAAGAAGTGCATTTTTCTTGACCGTCACTGCTGCAGTTGGAATGTTGGTTGCCTTTCACAGCAAAAGGAAACCCCGCCCCATGAACGTCATCCTCCCAGCCCTCATCAAAAGCAAAAACAAAACAGCAAAAATCCTGTCTTTTTTACCTTAGTATCTTAATGTTTTTTTCTTCTTCCTTTACAGTCTAAAGATGTTCCTTTTAATGTTAGTGGCCCAAGGGTTGGAATCACTTTCCTATCCTAATCAATATAAGCCCTCTTGTTACTGAAGAAATCATGATCCTTATGATTGGATTATACCTTGAGTGTTTGAGAGTCCTCTAGTCCCCCCACCACGCCCACCTTACAAATAAGGACACTGGAGTAGAGAGCTGAAGTGACTTGTCCACATTCAGACCGCCTAGGCTGAGCCAGGAATGCAAGTCAGGACTCTCAAATTCCACTCCGGAGAGGCTGCCCACTGTCCTACGAAATGGAACTTCGCTCCATTTTGTTTCAGAGTTCGAACGCTCATTTCGTGCTCTAAATCAGTAGGAGTTTATTTTAGCCTCTTCTTGTTAGTTCCTAATCCTGAATATTTGGTATCTTGCCAACGGAATAGACTAAATCCACTCAGATAATTTGGTGTTCACAGCTCACAGAACTCCCCAAGCGGTACGTTCCTTAGCAACCAAATATTTAATACACTTGGAAAAGTTCACTATTGAGAACAATGCGACGTATGTCCAGTTAGAGATGCAGTTCACTCTAATAGGAATTTCTTTTAATCCAAATTATTCATAGCAAATTAAGATGTCTTTAAAGCTCCAAGAATAAAATACAGCTGTATTGTAGTAGTTATCCTATGATGACCTAAATCTGTAATTAAGATTCTTTGAGTGTTGCCAACATAAATTCTAGTTTGGAACTTCTTAAAACCCTGAAAGATGTGCTTCCAACTCTGAAAGACCTGAACTAAAAAAAGTCAGCTGTAAGGCAATTTCTTTATGTACTGCACTAATTCTTCCTTTGTGTGATATGAAGGAAAACTGAGACCAAATTTATATACAGGATCCTTATGGTAAAATTTGCATATAAAGTTCATTCCGTTTGGCTCTTGCCTTGTTAAGTCTTTTTGAGCAATTGAAAGCCCTATGGTTATTTACCAGGATTCAGGCAGAGGGGCTATACAACTTGTCTCTGGGTAGGAAAGGGGAAGGAAAAAGCAGTGACCACAAAATCATGTTTATGATCGGACTCTGTGCTGTCTGGTTTTGCAAAGGCAGCATGCTTCATGCACCGGGCCCAGGGTACTGGATGAGACCGGGTGTGAGTAAGGAGCAGCGGTAGTAAGAGTCCCAGACCTGCCTTTCTTTCTGTGTTCCCCATGACCCCCCCAGGCTCCACCACATCAGTTTCTGTCTTCCAGCAAAACACTGACCTTCCCTGTTAAGCAATCGCCATTGATGGCTCATGGCCTGCTCAGCAAAGTCCAGCCCTGGCCCTGGCATTTGAGGCCCTCTGTGGTTGGACCAACCTGCCTTTCTAGCCTGACCTCATCCCGGGTAAGTCTGTCGCCAGCTTTGATGGACCCCACTCTCACAGCTCTGCGGCTTTTTCACTCCCAGCCCCACGGCTTTGCTTCTGCTGCTTGTCTCTGACCATTTCCACGCCCTCATCCACTCTTCATTCTGGGTTCCTTTTTCTGGGCATCCCAGATCCCACCCATCCTTGAGTCTAGGCCAAGACCTGATTCTTGGGGCGCCAGCACCCAATTCCAGGTGGCAGTGGTCACCTCTTCTGCTTGGTCTGCCCCTTAAAAACACTTCTGTTGCTAGATGTCCAAGGTATTTTTTTTTCCCACCAGAACCAGATTAAAACTGCAGGGCAGGGCCCTTTCTTACAGTTTTTTGGCAGCCACCTTAGTACCTAGTAGAGTTCATTCACTCATTCGGTGACTTAGTGCCGTCTTAAGAAGATCAGGGGCTGGGTGCACTGGTTCACCCCTGTAATCCCAACACTTTGAGAGGCCAAGGTGGAAAGATGGCTTGAAGCCAGGAGTTCAAGACTAGCCTGGGCAACACAGTGAGACTCCCATCTCTACAAAAAATATATATATATATATTTTAATTAAGCCAAGTGTAGTAGTGTGTGCCTGTGGTCCCAGCTACTCAGGAGGCTGAGGTGGGAACAGCACTTGAGCCCAGGAGGTCGAGGCTGTAGTGAGCCATGATTGTGCACTCCAGCCTGGGTAACAGTGAAACTCTGTCTCAGAAACAAACAAACAAAAAACCAGAATAGAACCTAATCCTTGTGCCCTCAGAGCTTCCAGTCTGATGGAGCAGATAAAAATTAAGCAAGTAATGACGAGAGCATTACAACAGATTCCTTGGTAGCGGCTCAAGACATTCCTTCTGAGTGCATTCATTTAACAAGGGAAATTGAACCATCCATGAAGAATCTGTACCTCGAAAAAAATAACGTTCATCTCTTTTCCATGTCCAGATGTGAACAAAGGCATCTATGTTGTATGTTGGGATTCCATGCCAGCCAGTGAGGATTTCGATAGGGTCCCCATAGCGTGTCCTATTATTTCGATTTTCATAAAGCCAGTACCAGCTGTTGCGGAAGAAATATGTGCTAAATCTCACCATCACCTCTCCATATTGGTTTCTCTCTTTGCGAATCCAGTCAAATGCAGTATCGAATGATCCCTCACAGGAGCCTTAAAAAAAAGTCACTTGTCACATGGTACAGAAACATATTTTCATGTGTGACTTGAATGAAGACAGTTGCAAAGCTGGGGCTTTCTATAAAAACACCTTAAAGTAAGACACCATGTAAGACTGAAGTGAGGCCAGGTGCAGTGGCACATGCCTGTAATCCCAGCACCTTGGGAGACCGAGGCAAGATTGGTTAGTTCAAGATCAGCCTGGGCAACATGGTGAAACCCAGTGTCTACCAAAAAAAAAATATATATATATGTATATATATACACACACACACACATATATATATATACACACAAAAAAAAATTAGCTGGGTATGGTGGCACGTGCCTGTGGTCCCTTGGCACAGGCTACTTGGGAGGCTGAGGTGGGAGGATTGCTTGAGCCTGAGAAGTTGAGGCTGCAATGAGCTGAGATCAGTCCACTATACTCCAGCCTGGGCAATACAGTGAGACCCTATCTTGGGGAAAAAAAAAAAAAAAAGGTTGAGGTGGTGAGCAGAGGGAGCTGGAGGTGCCAAGCTGCCTGCTACAGTCCTGGTTCACAGGCACATTGTGGCTTCATTCTTCACAGTGTCCCAGGCCCCTCTCAGAAGCATCTCAATTTGGATGCAAAGTTATGTATGGTTGACCACCCTAAATATAGCTAGTGAATGCCTCCCTTGACGCCTTAACGGCAATTTGACTTCATTAGCGGGAAGAAGTTTGATTCTGGGCTCATGTAAGAGTAAGGTTTCCACTGGGGCAAGTCCGTGTGTCCTGCCTGTTATTGTCTCCAAAGACACACAGTGCTGAGAACGGGGGGATGTGAGAACAGAAATGGGCTGGTCTCTGTTAGGGACTTTTTTTTTCAAGACAGAGTCTCCCTCTGTCACCTAGGCTGGAGTGCAGTGGTGCAATCTTGGCTCACTGCAACCTCTACCTCATGAGTTAAAGCAATTCTCCTGCTTCAGCCTCCTAAGTAGCTGGGATAACAGGCGTGTGCCACTGCGTCCGGCTAAGTTTTGTATTTATGGTAGAGACAGGGTTTCAACATGTTGGCCAGGCTGGTCTCGAACTTTTGACATCAAGGATCCGCCCACCTCGGCCTCCCAAAGTGCTGGGATTACAGGCGTGAACCACTGTGCCCAGCCTAGGGACCTCTGAATGGAAAAGAGGAGGACAGCTTTATTCCCTTGGGCCACTAACCACTTTAATCAACCACTAGAACGTTTGGCCTAAACGATTTTAAATAGAGATTAGAGCTTATCCTGGCCAGGCTAAACTCAGTTTCTTTGGGATTGCAGTAAACTCCCAGGGCTTCCAGTGTGTGCGTCTCTGGTGGGATGCCATAGCATGGGTGGGGGGGCCTGCTTGTGTTGAGAAAAACACTGCGTTCACTGTCCTCCCTGGAAATGCATGTGGCATGTGGAAGACAGGACACAGGAGGGACTGGCTGTCAACTGGGCAGAACCACTTTTAACTGAGAGAATGGCATCAGGGAGCTAGAGGACGGCTACCCTTGGGTGACATGAGTTGTACAACGTTGTGCTCTTGGACCCAGGTTCCCGGTGAGGAGTGAGCGGGGTCCTCCGCGAGCTCAGGGATGCCCTCCCCAGCAGTCTTACCATACAGCTTTTGAATTGCTTTCCTGTCCGACCAGTCCAACTCGAAGGCAGGTTCCTGGGGAATGTAATTTGGTTGCATTATGGATCCCGTCCTGTAGGTGTGAGGCAAGCCCAGGACATGGCCAATTTCATGGACGGCCACCTAGAAGGGGACACACACCATGGGCGCTAGGTGAAGCCTGGGCGATGGATCCCTGCGTAACAGACGCAGGCCTGTGTTTCGAGAGGAGCGGTGCTTGTGAAGAGGGGAGCACCAGTGGAACTGGGGAGCCGTCGTCAGACACAGATTTACCTCCTCAGAGGATGCAGACGCTACATGGGAAAAGCTTGGACTTTTTGGACGTCGGCCCATGAGCACTGCTGGTGTCTTATCAACACGAGCAGCTCAGGACCACTGACCTTGAGAAGGCTGATGCCCATGTCACTGGTGGGAGGCGTGAAGTGCTCGTCGTCGTCGAAGTGAATGTCACCTAGGCGCCAGGCGTGTGCAAACTCCTGCCCGCTCCCATCGAAGGCCCGTGGACAGCCCAGATGCCGGCCTGGCGAGGGGGAGAAGGTCCAGGTGCAGGATGAGTGCCCCACATACAGACTCCTCACCTAGGGGGTCCCCAGCCTCCAGGAACCGGCAGCAGAGGCAGACAGAGCGACAGCTCCTGGATTAAGTCCTCAATGTGAGGAGGGTGGGAGACGGTTTGTTTATAAACCGTGTTTACTGTCAGAGACAGAGACCAGCAGGCACCAAATGCCTGGGAGCAGAGCAGAGGGGGCCTGGGAAGATGGCAAAAAGGCCTCACCCGGACAAGATCAGGGCCGGATCCTCGCCTCTGCGGAGGTCATGAAATACTGGAAGCCGGGTCCCTTAAAATTTATCTTTTTCAGCCCACCGTGTCCCTGTACTTCTCACCCTGGGACATTAACCCAGTGAGACCAGAAGACAGCCCTGTGCACCCCTGGGTCACCGATGGGGCTGAAAAGCGGCTTGTCTGCTTGCTGCTTGTCTCTGACCACTTCCACGCCCCATCCACTCTCCATTCTGGGTGCCTTTTTCTGGGCATCCCAGATCCCAGCCATCCTTGAGTCTAGACCAAGACCTGATTCCTGGGGGCGCCAGCACCCAATTCCAGGTGGCAGTGGTCACCTCTTCTGCTCGGTCTGCCCCTTAACACTTCTGTTGCTAGATGTCCAAGGTATTTTGTCCCGCATTTGTCCGTTTGTACGGGGGAGGTGGTGGCACCTGTGCCTGACCCCGGCCTGTCCCGAGGCCCGGCTGCTGCTCCCTAGGAAGCTGGAGGCACAGGCAGGGAGCCGAGTGGGACGTTGAGGAGCAGCCCGGGCAGCAGCCTGCGCCCAGGGCCGGCCGTAGTGTCCCCATAGGCCACACCGGGTTCTCTGCGGGGTGACCACGATTCTGACAAGAGGACGCTGACCGGAGGCTTCTGCCTGCTGACAGGTGCGCCTGGGACAGGCCGGGAGGGCTTATCCCCCTATTCTGCAGGTGGCCGAGGCGGGGGTAGGTGCGCCAGGATCCCCAAGGGGCTGGGGCAGGAAGGCCAGGAGCCCGGGGCGCTCTTACCTCTCCCAAAGCCCAGCTTGATGTCGACCGCGGCCCCGGGGGCGGCCAGGTCCTCGCGGAAGTCCAGCGGCGTCACCTCGCTCCACATCCTGAAGGCCAGCGCCACGATGCGCCGCTGCTCGGCCGCGGACAGCTGGCTGCTCAGGGCCTCGCCCAGCAGCCTCCAGCTCAGCGTCCTCTTGGAGAAGGCCCGGGCGGCCCCGCCGTCGGGGGAGCCCCGGGGCTGCCAACCCCGCCGGGACACGGACAGCGGCGCCCGCGGGGAGCGCCTGGAGCGGGCTCTGGGGGGCGGGCCGGGGGGCGAAGACGCGGCGACGGGGGGCGGTAGGCGCGTGTCGGGGACCCCGCAGCGCGGCCGGTTCATGGCTGCCAGGGTGGCCGCGTCCAGCTCCCCACTGGCCGGCAGCGCGTTCGCCCGCTGGAACCTGCGCACCGCCGCGGCCAGGGCGGCGCCCTCGGGGGTCTCCGGCGGCCCCTCGGAACTGGGCCCCCAGGCCGCCCGCAGCCCCGACCAGCCGTATCTGGACAGGAACCGCTGGGGGAGAGAAAGGCACCCTCATCTGGGCCGCCTCGGTGCGGGCCCTCCCGGGCTGCCCTGCCCCAGAGTCTAGAGAGACAGAGACATGGGGAGAGACACAGAGACACAAAGAGACAGACAGAAGCAGAGAGACAGCCAGGGAGAGACAGACGGAGATAGCAATAGAAATAGACAGGGAGGGAGATACAGAGAGAGCAGCAGTGAGGGACAGAGACAGGAGACAGGGAGCGAGTCCTGGGCGCCGTCCTGAGTGCGGGCCCTGGATGGGCACCAGGCTGAGTCAGAGGCGCCCCAGGGCCCGAGGAGCAGGAGACCTGGGCAGCGGGGTGGGCGAGTGCCGGGAGGAGGTAAGAGGTCGGCGCAGTGAGGAAGGAAGACGGCTCCCCGAGGCCATGCGGGGCGGGTCGTGGGGGGCAGGTGGGGGTGCCAAGGAAGGCCGGGCGTGGCCACACCGCAGAGAAGGCCAGGGTGAGGCATGTCCTGAGAGCTGGGAATTCGAACTGAGGGGCTTGGCAGTGGTTGGGTTTGAGGACCCGGGGGCTTCCTCATGGCCGCACAGAGAGAGGGAGGTCGGCGGCCCCCATGGTGCTGAGGGCCTGGCTACAGGGCGGCTCTCCTGTTCTCTGCCCTGGCCTCTGGGGCACCATGGGAGCTGGGGATTGGACTTGACCCTGAGCATCAGCTCCTGGCCTATGGTGACCACAGGACCACGTGCCAGGGCAGGTCAAGGGACCTCATGGGTCCACTCCCTGTCCCCAACCACGACTCTCTGGAGGAGGGGATCGGCTGCATCAGACCTCTGGGTGTTTCACCACAGACTCAGGTGAGGTCCACGGATGCCACCCCAGACAGCTCTCTTAGGATCCTCACTATTGCGGTGTTGGGGAACCTTGCAGGGCTGTCCCCTTCTCTACATCCAGAGACTGGCATGGTGAGCAGCCACAGAAAACCTTCCGACAGTGCCTTGGCCACTACAGTATCACATGCTTGCCTTTGGAAAGGCACTTGGCATTTCAGTCTGTTGTCTGTGCATGGACATTTCTCTCTCACTAGGGCTGACCTGTGGGGTTGTTGAATCAGGTTAACATTGGATTCATGGTTGTTCAATAGGAACCACAGGAGCCACTCCTCCCTCCCAGCCCAGCCTGCGTGGCCCTTCTCTGCCTCGGCACAGTCGCCATCCTGGCCTGTGCCTGTGCGTGCGTGTGCACGTGCCTGTGCCTGTGAGAGCATGTGCATGTGCCTGTGTGCACGTGCGTGTGCCTGGGGGTGTTGCTATTCTTCCAGCTTCCTCCTACCTGAGCAGCGTGGAGGTCGGCAATGGGCTTGGCCTGGCGCAGTGGGGATGGCTCCAGGTCCGAGCGGTCCCGGCTGTGGAAGAGGCTCTCAGGCTGGGTGGACCAGGGAGCAGCCAGCCAGCAGAGCAGCAGTGTCGGACGGAAGATGGAGGCGGCGAGCATTGGCCTGGTCTGAACCCTTGCCCTCCCTGCCTGCTTCGTCCCCGTCCCCGTCACCTCTCCTTAAGGAGCAGAACCTAGGGTGGCTTTTATAAGCTGCCCAGGAGGGAGCACCCAGGTTTCCAAGCATTTCTCACCCAGCCCTGAAGTGTGCCCACTAGGAGGCCACGTGGCAGGCCATGGGCGTGCTGCCTTTGAAGACCCCAGGCTCACCTTTCTTGTTGGCGTGAGAACTCCTCTCAGCCTCCGGAGTTTGCCACCTCCCCGGGTAATGACATCCTACAGTTGCCAGTGCCTGTGGATTCCATTTCTATGGAGATGTACTGTGGGCAAGTTTGCCGCTAAATGAGCTGTGGAATTAACAGAGGCACGAGACTGCACCCCTAACAACGTGCCTCTCAGATCTGAGCCTGAGTTTAAAAACGCTGACCGTTAGTTTGCTTACAGTTTGGGTCGCTTTTTTTTTCTTGGCGAACTGGGGTTTGGAGAGTTTTAGTTTGTTACTCAGACTTTTTTTGTGTAGCTTTTCTTCTTTTTGTTTCACTTTATATAAAGGAGATCTTCTCAGTAGATAGTATAAATTGTAAAAGTACTGAGAATGACGAAGAAATTCTGTGATTATGGTGGTGACATTTCAGTGAACATTCTTGCAGATACATATGAGCAGGTGCCTAGAAAAGTATTTGTGTGTGTCTCTCATTTTACATGAACTCTAGTCTCTATTCCTTTCAAGTCAGCACAATGGTTTTTTTTTTTTGTTTTTTTTTGGGTTTTTTTTTTTTTTTTTGACGGGTCCACTGTCCCCTTGCTCCCCTTTGGAGTGCATGCCGGATTCAGCTCACTGCAGCTCCGCCTCCCGGTTCGGCATTTCCTGCCTCAGCCTCGAGTAGCTGGACCACGCGCCCCCTCGCCGCTAGTTTTTTGTTTTTTAGTAGAGACGGGGTTCACTGTTAGCAGGATGTCTCGATCTCCTGACCTCGTATCCCCCGTCCGGCCTCCCAAGTGCTGGGATACAGGTTGAGCACGGGGCCAGTCAGACACGTACAGGCACTTTTCTGTTTCTGAATGTAAGTGTTTATCGTTCTAGTTAATGACTGCACAGTGCCCCATTCTGTGGGTAGAGATCCGTATATGAGGATAAACTACAATCACCTCGGCCCGCTCACTTTCCCCTCATGGAGAAGCCTCAAGTTTCTCTGGGATCCTGAAGACAGAACCTTCCCTGAACTGGGCTTTTATTTGAGCAGACGTCCTCCAGAGAGCACAGACTGACTGGGCCACAGCTGTCCATGGGAATATGGAGAATCATAGAAATATGGAGAGGCCAGGTGCAGTGGCTCAGACTCATAATCCCAGCGTTATGGGAGGCTGAGGCAGGAGGACTGAGACCAGGGGTTTGAGACCAGCCAGGGCAACACAGTGAGACCTCATTTCTACCAAAAAATGTTTAAAAATTAGCTCGGCATGGGCCGGACGTGGTGGCTCACACCTATAATCCCAACACTTTAGGAAGCCAAGGGGGTGGATTGCTTGAATCCAGGAGTTCAAGACCAGCAAGAGTTCAAGACCAGCCTGGGCAACATGGTGAAACCCCATCTCTACTAAAAATACAAAAATTAGCCAGGTGTGGTGGCGTGCGTGCCGACAGTTCCAGCTACATGGGGGAGCTGAGGCTGGAGGATCACTTGAGCCCAGGAGGCTGAGGCTGAAATGAGTCGAGATCACGCCACTGCACAACAACTTGGATGACAGAATGAGACCCTGTTTCAAAAGGGGGGAAAAAATGGATAGAGTGAGGTGTGCCACTTGCAGGCCTGAACTCTAAGACCACCCTCGTATTCTCTGTGATTTCTTCCCTCAACTCCTGACCAGATGCAGAGCATCCCGCAGAAGTGGCTTGGATCCCTGAACCCCCTTGTGGAAGGCCACCCGCAAACCCTTGACTGCTCTGTGACAGGAGCAAGAAACAACTTTATTGCTTGGAGCCTAAGATTTGGGGTTGGTGGGTGCAGCAGTTAGACAACGCTAATACAGGCCACTAAACGCTTAGTCTGTCCCCAGAAGGACCCGTAACATGTTCCTCGTTCCCTAAGACCTGTCTCCAGTAGAGACTACGGCTTGCCCTTCTCTCTCTGGTGAAGGCTGCACAGGTCAAGGAGCAGGATGGGTGTTTCCGTCCCTGATGGCCGCCTCCACTCAGGGAAGCGCCCTGCTCCTGTGAGCCTCATGACAGTTTTCTGGGTCATCTCCAGCCTTCCTAGTGGCTGTTCTCTCCCCAAGATGCCTTCGTCCCTTTTCTTGCAGAGTTCTCCTATATTCCAGGTCCTTCCGTTGTCCTGAGTGACCCTGGCATCCCTGTGAATGACTGGTGCGTTGCTTTGACCTACCCCCCCATGACTGTGATCTGAAGATTCTCACCTCCACTCCACTCGAGTCACCCATGGCCTGGCCTGGCCCAGCCCTGGCACCCCCTGGACTGCTGCACCTCTGATCCTACAGGCATAGGCAGCCCTTGAAGCCCACCGCTGGCTCTCCTTGTAGCTTCTCACCCTCTTGTCCCTACCACATGGTCCTCTGAGTCCCAACTGCACCGAGGGTCCTGAGGGTCCTTCTGCCTCACCCACCTATCTTGGATCCTTGGTTTTTACTCTGTCCAGCTCAGATCCCAAAGATGCCGACCAAGCCCTTGCCTGAGAGCCTCCCACCACCCCTGCACTGGGGCCGTGCCCTGGGCAGATCTGGCTTTCTGTCTCCTCCATCATGCTGAGCACACATTTGCTCATCTATTTCCTTTAAACTCATGACTACGCCCCTTCTCCGTGGGCTCCTGCGCTGCACAGCAGCCTCCTCATCTCCCACTTCCTTGAGTATTTCCTGTTCCTCCTCTCTTCTTGGTGGGTCACACAGATGCCTGCAGGGGCTGACCCTCGGGGCAGGGGAAGGGCACGGGAAGGGCAGGGGAAAGGCAGAGTATGGGGAGGCAAAAGTAAGTAGAGGTTCAGGTTTGCTGCAGGAATTTCTACCCCAGTATCCAGAGAGCTTGCAGGAAATGAATTAAAGTTCTTTAGGCACTGTGATTTTGCAGATGAAAACTTAGAATTTTATGTCAAAGGTCTCCAAGAAGAGCAGGTGTGCACAGGCCTGTGTGGGGCTATCCGTTAGTTATTCATTCAGTCATCATGTAGCAAATACTTATTACTGTCCTACAGACAGGGAATACAGAAATGAACATGATGGATTCATTCCCTACTGTATTAGTCAGGGTTCTCTAGAGGGTCAGAACGAATAGGGTAGATACATTAAGTAGTGTTAACTCACACAGTCACAAAGTCCCACAGTAGGCCGTCTGCAAGCTGAGGAGCAAGGAAGCCAGTCTTAGTCCCATAGCTGAAGAACTTGGAGTCTGATGCTCAAGGGCAGGAAGCATCCATCATGGGAGAAAGATGGAGGCTGGGAGGCTAAGCCAGTCTAGTCTTTTCACGATTTTCTGCCTGCTTTATATTTTTGGAGCTGATTAGATGGTGCCACCCAGATGAAGGGTGGGTCTGCCTGTCCCAGCCCACTGACCCAAATGTTAATCTCCTTTGGCAACACCCTCACAGACACACCCAGGATCAATACTTTGGATCCTCCAATCCAATCAAGTGGACACTCAGTATTAACCATCACACCTACCCTCATGGAATGTAGATTCTAAGTAGGGAAGACAGACAATAAGCAAAAAAGAAATGAAAAATTCCAATAATGACAGGTGCTAGGAATAGAGTTAGGGAAAGTGAGTGTCTATGGGGAAGAGTGAATATTCAAGTGAGCAGGAAAGACCTCTTGTGCAGATGAAATCTGGGCAACAGCAGAAAGATCAGAGGGACTCAGTCACATGTAACTGGGGGTTTGAGATTCGGGAGTGGCATACATTTTAGGCCAGGAAAGGACAAGTGCACAGGCCCTGAGGCTGGGACCGGCTGGGCAAAGCTACAATAGTAGGGAAGAAAGAACAGCCTGGCTGGACGTGACTGGGAGGAGTGAGCTGGCAGGGGAGGATGGAGAGGAGCAGGTGAAGGTCAGATGCGGAAGGACCCATAGGGCAAATGAGGAGTCTGGGTTCACTGTAAGTTCAGCTGGAACATTTTGAATGGACAATGCCAGGAGTGGCTACTTTTTGAAGAACCTCTGTGCAGTTCTGAGGTTGGTGTAGGCTGTGTCTCCTGGGGTGAAACCCTCTGGCCATCGTCAACTCCTCTGTGTTTTTCTGACTGTGCCACACCCTAGGACACTTTCCTGGGCTCTAGGACACCGGGCTTCCCGGGGAAGGCACAGTCCTGAGCTGTGACCTCGGAGATCCATTCCTCATTGGGCCCACACCCAACGCTGCAGGGGGAAAGGCGGGACCTGGGATGCTGGAAAGGGGTACTCAGGAGGAGCTTGGGCACCCACCACGATCCCTGTTCTGCTTGAAGCCTGGCAGTTCTGTCCATTCCACCAGCTCTGGTCAAAGACGGTGCTTCTGAAAGTCAAATCTGAAAACTTGCATGACAGCTCTCCCCAGTGGGGGTAAGATGATTCCCCTTAGGGATTACTGTGGCTTAAATGTTCATGTCCCCTCCACAATTCATGTTGAAACTTAATCCCAGTGCAACTGTATTAAGAGGTGGGGCCTTGAGGAGGTGATTGAATCATAAGGCTCTACCCTCCTGCCCTTAGAAGCCAGGCTTCAGAGTGCGTTCAGCCCTTTGCCCTTCTGCCATATGAGGACGCAGTGTTCAAGGCACCATCTGGCAACAGAAACCGGGCCCTTGTCAGACACCAAGTCTTGCTCTTGGACTTCCCAGCCTCCAGAACTGTGAAAAAAATTGTTTATTATTTATAAATGACCCAGTCTCAGGTATTTTGGTATAGCATCACAAATGGACTAAGACAGGGATCATAGGCTTGAGGGCTTCATTACTGAAGGGTCTTGTTCCCTAAAGTTATTATTCTTTAAGAAACTTTATGGTGTGGTGACCTCATGCAGCTTGGGTGCTTGACTTGGGGAAGTATGTTCACCATGTGGACGTTTGCTCTTCTTTCGGAGGATTCTTCTCTCCCATTATTACTAAGCTTTGGAATGTACTGGCTGCTCAAGGCTGAGAATGTTTGATTAAACAAATTGCTCATTCCAGGTTAACTGGATTTCAAGGAAATCAATTGGATTTAGGAGGGAAAACGTCAGAGGAAGACACGTGACCTACAAGAAAGACAACATGAGGGACAGGGGCTCCTGCACAAACTGGTTCCTGCTCTGTGCAGGCCACTTCCCATTTCTGAGACTGGGCAAGGGTTTGGCTTGGAGCTTTTAGAATCTCTTTTAAGCCATGAGATGCATAACCTAATGGTCAGTGGAATAATTGAAATTTTTTTCCTCTAAAACATTCATCATTTATAAAATGGCTTTTTTTTTCTTTTTTGAGATAGGGTCTCACTTTGTTACCCAGGCTGAAGTGCAGTGGCACAGCCACAGCTCAACTGCAGCTGTGACCTCTCTGGCTCAAGTGATCTTCCCACCTCAGCCTCCTGCAAGTAGCTGGGACTACAGGTGTGAGCCACCATGCCCAGCTAATGTTTGTATGTTTTTGTAGATAGATGGTTTTGCCACGTTGTCCAGGCTGGTCTTGAACTCCTGGACTCAAGCAATCTGCCCACCTCAGCCTCCCCAAGTGTTGGGATTACAGGCACGAGCCACTGCACCCAGCCTGGATTTGCATATTCTTAGTACAGTTGGACAATAATATTTGGAAACAGTCGTTCCCACAGGAGATCTTTGAGCCTTATGTTCAGCAAGGGGTCAGTTCTGACTCTGAAAGTGAGCAGAGCTCGGGGGCCCAGGTTCTGGGAAGTGATGCCATCGGCACCAGGGCAGGCCTGTTGTCGTTTCCAGCTGCATAGTGCACCTGTGAGAGGGACAGACTCTTCCCAGTGTCTGTCCTGATTCCCTTCTGTCCAGACTGCGTTTTGGTCCCTTTTCATCCACAAATAAACCCTTTTCCCCATCTCTGGGCTGTGTAGGACCCTCGGCCTCCCTCGGGAGATCTCCTTGTGTTTTATACACACGAGGGTCTGCGTTTGGGGCTTGTTCCTCCCCACAAAGGATGCACGTGGAGGCTGCTCAGCAGTTGCAGGAGGGAGGCCCCCTTTACTACCCGCCTGCACTTCTCTGCCAAGGCACACCCAGGCCTCCTGGCCTCCGGATGAGAATGATGCTCTTTGTTGCTGGTGATATCCCTCAGAAAGCTTCCAACTGGTTCTGCTCTGAGAGTGGGGCCCTCTGATGAGGAGATGCCCTCAGTCTGCTGGTCAAACCCAGCTCTTCTCAGGGCAGCTGCCAGGGCAACAGCAACGACACCAGCGGAGAAGCTGAAATTTCCCAAGCACAATGGTAAATTCTGTACGTCAGTGTGACTGGGCCAAGGGACAGCCACAGACCTGGTAAAACACTGTTCCTGGGTGTGTCTGTGAGGGTGTTCCACGAGAGATGAGCATTTAAATCAGTAAGGAAGAGCCACCCTCACCAGCGGGCAGGTGTCATCCAGTCCACTGAGGGCTCGAGGAGAATGAAAAGGCCGAGCAAGGGTAAATCCTCCTACTTTCTGAGCTGGGACATTCATCTTCTCTGCCCCTTGAATCCTGTCCATCCAGGTTCCCGGGCCCTCAGACCCCGGGACTTACAGAAGCGGTGCCTTCTCCCCAGGCCTTCTTCAGACGCAGACTGGGAATCATGCCACCAGCTCCCTGGCTCTCAGCCTCCAGGCTCAGGCTGAACTGCAAGCACCGGCTTTCCTGGGTCTCCAGCTTGCAGCCCACAGATGCTGGCCTCCTCGGCCTCCAGAATTATGTGAGCCAATTCCCCTAAGTGCCCTCAGTCTCTCTGTCTCTCTCTCTCTCTCTCCATCTATCGTACTGGTTCCGTTTCTCTGGAGAACCGTAAAACACCGAGAGAGAGAACCCCAGAAGCAGACCAGACTCAGAGGGAGGAGGAAGTGGCCTGGCCTGGCTCAGAGATGGGATCTGGCTGGTTACGTGGGACTCCTTTCCGCCCCTGGAAATGCAATTTTTACAGGACTTGGGGGTGTTTGGGTGAGAGGTGAGGAAAAAGTTACCAACTCCCCAGGTCCAGAAATTGAGTGACACGATGAACACTGAGTAAAGTAACTCAGTAACTCAGCTTGGTGACAGGCCCCGTGGGTATGAATCATGCAGAATTTTCCACGCAGAATACAGCCCCTGTCGCCGAGGTTACACGGCAAAGCTCAACCCACTGCTGCTGGACCCATCTGCTGGCCTCTCTCCCATCTGCACCACGTGGCCCCTGGCTCCCATCACCCCCCATACTCCTGAAAAGCTGCTACACATGCGCCACCCCGAGGGACACCCATCAAGCTGAGAACAAGCAGCAGCTGCTTCCATAAGCGCACTGTGCCTGGGTCTCTTTGCGGGTTGGGGAGGGGGCACGGCTTACATGTCAGAGGGTCCGGAGGCTTCGAGGTGGACATGGTACCCTGGAGAAGGGTGTAGGAAGGAACCATCTCAGGCCCAGGCCCAATTCCTGTCCTGCCGCCAAAAGCAGGTTGACGCTGAGGCGTCTCTGCCCTGTCCTCGGAGCCTCAGTCTCCCATCCGTTAAGAGAGTTTGAGCTGCTGCCTCCAGATGTGTTCACCACTGAGGAAAGTGCTGCTGCAGCCTGCTGGAGGTAGAGTCAATAGCTTAATGCCGGTGATTAACAAACAACGTGTAACATGTTCTGAGAAATAAATAATATTGCTCATGATTTGCTGCTGGGGCTGAGATGAGAAGTTTATCTGGGAAAAGCATTGCTGACGGCAAAGGCGGGATTCTGATCATTATCCTCCACACCTATGAGTCCTAGGCCTCTGCTAGGGGCTCAGGGGGCAGAGACAAGCACAGGTCCAGCTCTCAGGGGCCCACAAATGCCCTGAGAAGAACAAGGTCTCAGAATGTCAGAGAAGTGGAGTGGCCACGGTTTGGAGCTGCGCACACACGTGGGCTGTGGGCAGTCAGGCCAGGCTGAGAAGGGGGCTTAGAGGCCATGCTGAGGAACACGACCCCCATCCTGCAGCCCTGGGGGGCGCCCTGCCAAGGTGAGGTGGAGTCCAGTGTTCCCGTGGGAACACCCCCTCATCTAACTCTCCTTCAGCCCTTGGTCAGCAAAGTTCGAACCTGCCTCCACCTCACTTAACCTTGTGTATGGCATTAAATTCCTCCAAGTCCAGTTTTTCTTATCTCTAGGATGGAGGTAGTAGGACCCACCTGATAGGGCTATTTTGAGGATTAAATGAGATGTTGAAGAGAAATGTTTAAGTCTCTCTTAATTCAGAGCGTTGAGCCTGAAGCTGCCTCCTTACATGTTTTAAGACCAGCCTAAAGAATTCTCCGTATACAGTGAACTGTAACCTAAATAGTTACAGCTATGGGTACAAGAGTAGGTTACAGCTTGTTCGTAGGATACAGCTTGGGCGCTGTCCTAGGTGTGTAAACAGGCTGTAACCTACTCTTGTACCAATCACTGAATTTCAGCCAATCAAAGGTGGCCAACAGCTCAAACGCTGTTCAAAAGAAGGCAAATGCCAAGCTGTAACCAATCCAGCTGTTTTTGCATCTGACTTCCATTTTCTGTACGTCACTTTCCTTTTTCTGTCCACAAATCTTCAACCACGAGGCAGCGCCGCAGCCTCTCAGCCTTTCTGGTTTAGGGGCTGCCCAATCCGCAAATCATTCTTTGCTCAATCAAACTCTCTCAAATGTAATTTGTCTAAGGTTTTCTTTTAACGAGATAAATATGATAAAAGACATACATTTCTCCCATAAGGACTGTGCACACCTTCCAATCAGTAGAGTGCTTACCAGTAAGAATGAAAGAAAACTGTCTGAGCAAATGCATTCCTGCAGCTTTTGTAGGTTTTATCAATATTTCATCAAAATTAGAACTCTTCTACTGCTGAAGTCTTTTTGTTGTTTCAGTTGCTTTTCAAACACTTTATATAATTGCACAAGGCATAAATCTATAAATAATATGCAAATATACAGCTTAAAATTGAACTTGATAAAAAGATTCAACAGTAAGTTTATGAGGGACTTCTGGTAACCAAATATTTCTTTTTTCTTTTCTTTTTTTTTTTTTTTTTTTTTTGAGACTGAGTCTCGCTCTGTCACCCAGGCTGGAGTGCAGTGGTGCCATCTCGGCCTACTGCAACCTCCGCCTCCCGGGTTCAAGCAATTCTCCTGTCTCAGCCTCCTGAATAGCTGGGATTACATACGTGCACCACCATACCTGGCTAACTTTCTGCATTTTTAGTAGAGATGGGGTTTTGCCATGTCAGCCAGGCTGGTCTCGAACTCCTGGGCTCAAGTGATCCACCCGCCTTGGCCTCTCAAAGTGCTGGGATTACAGGCATGCGCCACTGCACCTGGCTGAGACTTTCTTTAAAGAGCATTTTATTCAAACTCGGAAACGGTATATCTTGATGTTTACTCTACCAACTCACTTGATTATTTTACCATTTAGATTTGACTGTAAAAGAAAAATCTCATAGTCATAGTGGCTTAAACAAGATAGAAGTTGATATATCTTTTACACTCAAGAAGTCTAGAGTTGGGATAGTTTGTGTGCCCACAGTGTCATCTTGTTCTAGAAAACTTCCTTTCCCCAACGTCATCTCAGGGCTCAAGATGGCTACTGGAGCTCCAGCTCTTCTATCTGTATTCCAGGAAAAAGGAAGAATGATGTGAAGGGTGTGCATCTCACTACATCCCCTTGGCTACAGCTTAATCACTGCCTGCCTGCGAAGGAAGCTGGGAAATGTAGTTCTTATTCCAAATGGCCACATACTTTGCTGAACATCAAGGATTCTTGTTCCAGAGTAATGAATATTGAGACTACCTCAGACTCTATCCCTGTCATCTACTTTCTTAGAATTTTTAGTAAAATGATTCCTGCTAGTTTATTTTCTGAAGACTTGTATAAAACACAATGTTTTTATTTTGTTACGTTCTATTCACAGGGAAGTTGTACTAACGCTTAACTCATTAAGAGAGTGACCACATGTAACTCAAGAGTTAAAGCACAAAAAACTTAGAAGAGTGTCTGAGAACATGTCCCACCAATGAGCTGTGGCTGGAAGGTCCAGAGGGAACATCTTCAGTTCTTACCACTAGCCCACCTGAGCCTGGGGGGCCAGCTGCACTCTACTTTGGCTCTCAAATTCCTGTGTGATCCTTTATTCCTTCCCTGCACAAACTTCTTCAGCAACTCTCCTGAGTCCAGGAGCTGGAGGGGAAGGCACGTGAGAGCAGATGCGAACAGGGAATGCAGGTCACACAACTGTGGCAAAACCCTGTGCAGCACATCTGTTGAGTGTGTTCTCCCACCCCACCCTTCTGTCCCTTCTGATCCCCAGGAGGGACACAAGGAAGCTGGCCACCCAGCCTGCTGGGGCATTACTCTGTCTGGAGCTGGCAGGGCTGGGGGTGTGACTCACTCACTGTCCTGGGTGGCCCTATTTGCCGCTCATGGTATCGTGTGAGACTCTGGCTTCGACCCGGCTTCCCACATTGACTCTGGGAAGGCACCTAGAACATCTACAAACTCAAAGCTGAACTTTCCTCAGCACATCAGGAACAGCTGGATCTGTTAAAATGTGGGAATGAAGTTTGGGAACAGATTTCCAAGGCCTTTCTATAGGGCTCTACATTTGCACATGAACCTCTTTTTTTTTTAGACAAGAGTTTTGCTCTTGTTTCCCAGGCTGGAGTGCAGTGGCATGATCTTGGCTCACTGCAACCTCTGCCTCCTGAGTAGCTGGGATTATAGGCACCCTCCACCACATCCAGCTAATTTTATATTTTTAGTAGAGATGGGGTTTCACCATGTTGGTCAGGCTGGTCTTAAACTCCTGATCCGCCCGCCTCGGCCTCCCAAAGTGCTGGGATTACAGGTGTGAGCCACCGCTCCCGGCCACATGAACCTCTTCTAAGTAAATACTGACTTCCCAGCCCCTCAGATTCCTGGGAGATCAGACGGTCTGTTTAATGCTGCAGTTGTATCTTTGAAGGAAAGCCTTATGCCAGCTTCTGTTCACTCCCATCTAGCCATTGAGCCATAGAATGATTAACATAATTATTGTCCTTAACAGAAACTGTAGTTCTGTGGGAGGGTGAGCAGAAGTGACGTGTGACATCCCTGGGCTTCACTTTCTTGAGCTGGGTAATTACAGACCTTACCTTCTGTCCCACCAATATCTTCAGAACCAGGGTTTCTCCACAGTCCCTTTCAAACTAGTTTTTGCCTACTCAGCCCTCATGTTCTAAGGAATCTCCAGCCCAACTGCCAAAGAAAGCCCAGGCTCCCAACTCACGCAATGGTCGAGGACACTGCACCTGCTGCTTTGCTCATCTCCCGCTGGTGCACGAGCTCCCTGCCTTCCTAATCCCAAACAGAACCATCTTTAACCATACCCTGGCCCACTCCATCTGAAACAAGGCTTCGCCAGAACTGCTGATAGCCTCACATCCTCTTCAAAAGGTGGCTTCGGGTTGTGTGGGGATGAAAGGACACACGTATGGTGTTTACTAGCATGCAGACATTTAGTGAACCTTTGTCCCTGATTCTGTCCCCCACCCCCTAAGGCTGTGAAAAGCATCCTATTTTCCCTGCCCTGCAACAGGGTGTTGTTCCTCCTCCAACAACATGTGCTTCCAAAGCCCACACATCCCTCCCGCTCTTGTCTGCCTACAGCTTGGACTTCTCTTTCCTCACTTACGGGCTTGTCTTGCTTCTCCAGCCTCTTCACCACACATGAGGGCATTCCTGATTGCACTCCAGCTATGGGGGACCCCATTCCTGTAATCCAGCGGTTTCCAAACACGGGTGCACACTGGAGGCAGCTGGAGAGTGTCTCATACCTCCTGCTGCTTGGGCTTTATTCTAGAAACCAATTCAGGGGAATCTCTGGGGGGTGGGGCCTGAGCAATTTCATTTTAGAAGCACATCACGTGGTTCTAACGTACAGTCAGGTTCTTAGTTCATGGGCTAATCTATTTCACTTTGGTACTAAGGTGAAAAATGTGTATGAAACAGTGCTTGCCCAATTATTTTCCTTAATCTTCTGAGACAAGTGGTCACTTCATGGAACCATCACCACAATCCAGTTTTAGAACAGTTCTCAAAGAATTTCTGTATAATCACATCAAGATTTGGAGAACAATTATCACTGAATTCTAACCTCTCTACTAGCGTGAATCTCATATGAGGTGGCTGATGAATTTCATTAGTCTAGGTCTAAGTGCTTAGGCTCATCCATCCCTTTTAATTTTGTTCTGGTTCTGCCACTCACTAGCTACGTGAGCCTGAGAAATCATTTCCCCTCTTGAGTCTGTTTCCTCACCAGAAAAATGGAATGATAGGAATGTCCACTCCTCAGGGATGTTATGAGGAATGGAGATCAGAGACGTGGAGCCCAAATGCCTTTCAGTCGGATCTTTCAAGGAAACAGAGGCGTGTGGGCAGAGCCTTCCCACCACCAGTCCACATGCTACCAAGAGACAAGTCTGGGTTTCAGTCAACTCAGCCTAAATTCCAGGCTGAGTTGGGAATGAAGTTTGGGAACTTTGGGAATGAAGTGGGAAGGAAATTTGGGAACAGATTTCCAAAGCCTTTCTACAGGGCAC